GTGCCTACGCACAGCATGACGCTGAACGAGTTCCTTCTGCTGGTCTGTCTACAAGAACCATCCCCGATGGATTTTGGGCAGCTTGAGCTCTAGGCAACCGTTTAGCTGCACAAACATCAGCCATTCATAACTCAAGAAGTAAATAATACAGAATAGTATCAAGTGTCATGCTAGGAGAACCTCACATTTGACACCATAGCGTCTCATGAACGCACGGATAATTCCCACAAAGACAATTATTGTCTGTCGAACACCATGATGTCAAAGGTTGTGTCAAATGTAGGGTTCCCCTAGCTCTTTCTAGTATCAACTGTGGTGGTGAGGACGTGATGAGCCCCTTAAGATTAATACCCAAGACCAGTCATGGTAAGGACCACCTTCACAAATAGAGAACTCATTGCTCTCAAATTTGATACATTTACCTAGCTTTTTTCAATTTACTATAATTTGCCAAGGAAGCAACTACAGAAATGATACAATGAGTAAAAAGGTTAGTATTGTATGTACAAGTATAATTTGCAAATAATTATGTTATGGTATATAGGAGATACTTCTAATTTGTAAAGTTGAACAATACAAAAAAAATTGCAAATGTTCTCTTCTTGATAATAAATTTTGAATAATAATAAGTGCAGGAATTAAATACCTGTAAGTATTTGTAACATAAAATTGGAAGTGCAAAAAATGACAAGAATGGGTTAAAATATTCTAAAGAACATTGGGAGAGAGAAGAACAGCATAAATAAGTCATAACGGGGAATTTGTGAGATTCATTTCACAAACCATTTTGAAAAGTACAAGTAATGGACAAGAGCGGTGCCATGAGTTTTCACCCACTCTCATGGCACATACTCTAGAGTGCGATCTGGGAGATGGTTGAGGTGGGAGCAAGATGTACGCATGTGACTCGTCATACCCCCACCTCGCACAGCCCCACAAAGGCTCTATAACCTTAATTCATTGTCGCCAGAAACTCCTATTAAATGGCCACACACACACATACAAATGAACTTTGATAATCAAACGAAAAATACAACTGAGTAGAATCCCACAAGAGTAGATCAAGATTTCAATTCATATCAATACAAGAAAATAACTTTTTTATAGTTTTTTTGCAATATAAATACAATGAAATCATGTTAGTTTTAATACGCAATGCAATTTTTATTTAATTAAGGAACTAAAATTCCTCCTGTTTGACTGAGGAACAAACCGGGTGAGTACTCATGAGCGGAGGAATCATTATTAAAGACTCAATTAAAGATCATTGCCCGCCAGGCACCAGGATTTCCATATGTGCCCTTCAGGAGTTCAGGTTTATGAGTAGAAGATGAAAGAAAAATCAAGCACCTAGGTTCATACAACATGGGACATTATAGACTCGTGCAGGTACACATGCAATAGTGTCCAGTGAGTAGAGCTTTTAGGACCTTTGGCATAAAAGAGTACTTTATTTGAGTAGGATATACAGTCTATTGGAGTGAATAGATCTATTATTCAGGATAAAACGTGAAGAAATGCACAAACCAAAACATGATATCACAACAACATACAGGGAAAAAGATGTGTTGAATGAGGCCAGGTAGTATTGTGCATAATGAATTGTTGTTACCCAACAATATTTGTCACCCAAACAACTGCTACCAATGTTGAGTGCATCACCAGGAAAAACAAAGAAAAAACAATATACAACTACATAAAAAGAATTGTATTTTCATTCATTTATAAAATTAAGAAATACGGAGTAAACAATAGCACATTTCCATGCTAATGATATCATTGATTTGGAAATGTTACCTATTTCACGGAAAACATCATTGACATTGAGAGCAGTTTTTGCAGAAGTTTCCCTAAAGAAAAGACCATTTTCCTCAGCATATACCTTTGCCACCTACAAAACCACTAATTGTTAACAAACATGAAAAGTACGTGATAGAACAATTGAAACTTTACAGAGCCTAAACAAATCACAATACTAATAAGATCTAATGTTCTTACTTCTGAAGTCACCTTCCTCTTATCTTCAAGATCAGCTTTGTTTCCCGCAAGTGCCATAACCAAGTTTGGATTACCTGCAAAAATGTTCAGAAGGCATATAACTCTTTTTCCACCTTCAAATAGATAAATAACATGGTTTTGAAAATCAGTTGAGGCATAGGGTAGAATCATATGCTTACAGTGCTGATCACTTCTATTTTAAAATTAGTACAAAAGTATTAGGGTATAGGTTGGCCTCTGAGTTCAAGTAATAAAAAAGTAATTAAAAAAGGGAGAAAGAGAAGACTTTTAGAAGCTCTAACTCCTCAAAGGCTCCAAAATGTTAGAAGGAATTCACCTCAAGTCCCAATTAAGCTCTACAAAGTGCACACCTCTTTTACGCCTTGAGGCTTACGCCTATTGGAACTTGAAAGGAAAATAGCCTTGAGGTTCTTTTACGCTTTGGCAAACATTGATAAGTATATTCTGGATTATTTTTACTAACAACCAGAAAAATGTAACATATCAAGTTCTCCTTTACAATGTTTTATTTTATATTTAAATTTTTCTTTAACAAACAACATTTCATCAACCAAATCATACATAAACAGCATTCTAACATGCAAGTACCCAAACCATTTTTAAAAAATCAATATCTCATGCATCAGTAAGTTTTAGGCTGAGCACCTTGCTTCTGCAATTCCTGGACCCACTTCTTTGCACGTTCGAAGGAATCCTATATTTTAGCAACAATTAAAAGTATTTTATAACAACCCAGAAGCATATGTTAGTCACACTAAAGATCTCTTTTTTCATCTGAATAAAAGTAAATAAAAATGTTCAAAATAAAAAATAACAGCAAGAAGAAAAAAGCAGGATGATTCAGTCAAGCTCTTGTGCCAAGAAAAGAAAAAGAAAAATCCCCCACCTCATAATTATAAATATGAAGTTATCAAGTTTCTCAATCACTCATACAATAAAAAAATAACAAAACTGCCATTTTGAAATCCACTTGTCCAGTTAAAACAAAATTACCATTTTGAATTCTACTCATCCAGTCTTTAGTATAATGTGATAGTCAAGAAACCATGATGAAAAGAGCAGCTCCTGTGATAACATAATTGATGCATCAGAATTCCCTAATCTTGGTTGCGAGACTGGATGCATCAGCTCTGCAACCCTGCAACCCTTGTCTGACTCTTCGCACCATCATCATTGCATCACTATTGAACTCCAACAACCCTCTACCTAAGATTCTCTTAACACTTACGGAGTAATATTTATAAAAATATGGAGTACTATTTTTCTTTAGATATGAAAGTTTGTGTTGTTGTTTTATTCTACTCTTCCCGTGGCTATCTGATATCTTACTAGCCAATTTACTTTGATTTTGTTCTTGAGATGAGGGTCTACTAGAAACACTTAACACTCTGCTTTTCTTAGGCATAAGTCAGTCAGGGCGTACATCTTACCCTCCTCATACCCCCATCCATGGGATTTTGCTGGGTTTGTTGTTGTAGTAGTTCTAAAAGCATCTACTAAGTGCAACAACTCTATTCAACAGAGGCTGTTTATACAATTAAAGGTAGCTGGTCAAGTCAAGCAAACAGCTCCAGCCAGAGTTGCAAAAACTTACAATGATTCACATACTAGTTCAGAGATTGAAACATTTAATCTTAAAAATAATAAGCCCACAATGATATTGTGTTGGAGTTATAGAACAGTACCGAGCTAGTAATGTCAAAGACAATAATTGCAGCAGCGGCACCTCTGTAGTACATCGGGGCCAGGCTGTGGTATCTCTCCTGGCCGGCTGTGTCCCAGATCTCGAACTTCACTGTGGTGTTGTCCACCGACACGGTAGACGAGAAGAAAGCCGCTCCGATTGTCGATTCCTGCAAATCGTCGTTACAATCAATGCGATCGAGCAGGAAAAATCATCAATTGTTTTTTTCAGATGAACTGATTATATTTCAGTTTAGCTATAAAAAACGGAGAATCGATTTAATTCAACAAACCCTATCACAAAACAACAAAAAATTCACCTGAAATTCGAGAAATTGACCCTTGACGAACCGTAACACAAGGCTTGATTTTCCAGCTCCCATGTCACCCAACAATACCTGGCGATCAGATTCGATATGTTAAAACAGAAATCGTTCAAAAATGAAGTCGATTGTGCACAGCAAGGTAGAGCTCATGTAAGAAACAATGGACTCACGAGTTTTGCGTTGACATTCTGGTGACCGCCGGACGCCATTGGAAGAGGTGAAGAGGAGGAAGACAGTAGAGCAGATGAGATGCTTCTTCGTTTCAATAGTACTCCGTAATATGATTATTATTATTATTATTATTAAACGAGGAGTTGTTATGATGATGAGCTCTGGGAAGAAATTGGTTGAAGACGTGTTGCAGAAGGAGAAATGGGGGCAGAAACTCAGAAAGAGTAAAGAAAAGAAAATTCAAGAAAAGAACCAATGAACCAACACTCCCTTTACAATTCTTACTCGTCTCTTTTCTTCTAGAGAGCCTCAATTTATCATATTTCACTAAAATTATTTTTAAATTATTTTATATGAAAAATAATCTAAAATTTAAAAATAAAAATTATATATTTAAAAATTACATCAAACATCTACGAAACTGGTGATGAGATGATTATATTATTTTATTAAATGACTAACAAAAATAAAGAAAAGAAAGTAAATGAAATGAATTGTAAACAGACAATTTAATTTGGAACGAATGAATTAGAAAGCCAAAATATTACTGGACAAAATAAAGAATATCCTACAACAATCAAGTGCATTCTATGTGCCATAAAATTTCTTATTCTTGGACTTTTCTTGGCTCAAATGTTATAAAAAGTTCTGCCATAAATTGTGATAAAAATGTATTTAATTATATTCTGTGATATAAATTTTATAAAATTTGATTGTAATTTTGATATATTAGACGGAGTACTCCATAACATTTATTTCTTTAAAAGTATATTGATTTATAATGAAAGTATATTACGGAAGTCCAACTGTTAGAATTTAATGGGGTGGAGGGAGACATCACAAAGCTATTCAGTTGCAATTTGATCCACCAATGCAATTATACTTTGTGATGTCTCTCATTGGTATGGGTTTGGGGATTTAAGAATATCAATAGACATCAATCAATTTCAATGAGTGGATTCCACACATTTGGCCACATTTGACCCAATACACAAGAAATATAAAAGGAAAAACAAGGCATGATGATTTATATTATTTGCAAAGCTTCATTCTTGGTATGGATTCCACAGTATCATCATAGGAACAATTAGGTTGAACAATTACACATATAAAGTGCCAGTACAAGTAGTAGTAGTAGTAGTAGTAGTAGTGGGGCTGGATTGCATGCAATTCTTCACATCACATCCTGGAGATCTGGAGGGGAACTGCAGTTTCAAGAATGTCTTCCCTGAGAGAGCCAAGCTGCATCATTTCCAGTCTCCCAAGCCTCTTCTTGATAATATGGCTGCGGCAGTTGTCCGCAGCCATGAGTCCCGCTGAGTAGGCGCCGTGGACAGACCCTTGATGCTCCATGCTAACCGCTTCGCCTCCAAAGAAGAGATTTCCTAAGGGGGCTCGCAGCCTGTCGTACACATCTGTTGGCTTTCCAACCGCATCATATGAGTAACTTCCCAGTGAATCCGGGTCCGACCCCCACCGTGAAAACAGATGCTGAACCTGTGCGCGCACAAGTTCATCAAACAGATCAAAACACATTTTATACCAAAAAATTTATCCAAGAAGATTAGGATAACAGTACAATGGGTAAAATCAGGGGAATATGGGACCATACACCTATTCGTTATGAAAAGGTTTATGCAGGGGAGAAGGGCACACCTCCATTTAACATACACAAGAATACATGTTAGAAAAGAGAGTGATTGGTAAAATCGATTTAAGCCAAAGGCTACTTCAGACCAGTAGGACAGCTGAATTTTGTGCTGATACTAGCAGAATATTCAAAAAATATCTCTTTCGACTAACAAATGTGCTTTCATTTTGATTTTCTAACTACTTCGCTTATTCTACTGGCCACTGGGATGCAAATTAAGTAGAGCTAGAAGAAACCGATTAATTCTACCAAATGAGGCCCAATAGGCTAAGGAATACTTACTGGTTCACTTGCATTGGGAAACATCTTCTTCAGGTGCAACATTGCAAAATCTGCAGCAGCCTCATCAGATAGCTTCTCAAGATCACCGGCTAAGCTTCCAGCAGCCATATAGACGAGGATGGGATGGCCTGTTGCCTTGTGTAGATTTAAAAAATAACCACATGCATAAGACGTGGGTGCAACTATGCCTAACAATTCCACATTTGGCCAAAAGACATCGTCGAACCGAAGCGCAACCTTATTTTCATTCCCCATACCAAGATCTCTTATAGCAGAAACCTTCCACTCAGGCAATTTCGGTTCAAAATCTATCAAATCTGCTTTGAGAACCCCGAGGGGTACAGTAATAATAGCGGCATCTGCTATGAAACTTCTCCCGCCCTCAACTGCCACCATTACCTTGTTATACCCATTTGCAATCCTTACAACCCTGTTGAGCAAAGTTATAGATTAGTACTAGTTACAACCACGGAAAATCATTTACACCACTTACTAACTCAAAGTGCACTAATCAGTAATAAATCCAGTATCTTCATATTCACAGTACTAAAGATTATAACCAAGTAGACCAGATGTTCAATTCACAACCCCGCAGGATGAACCAAAAAGTTAAAATTTCAGATTGTGTTCATTCTTCGATTTTCTATTCCCTTGATCATTGTTTAGTTGAAAGCAAATAGGAGGGTAACAGTTAGTGCTGTTGGGTTTAAAGTAGATAATAAAGAGAGACGGGTGAAGCAGACCGTGTTGGAGTCATGGAGAGGGCAATACAAAAAAAGACGCAAAATACAACCCCACAGGATGAACCAAAAAGTTAAAATTTCAGATTGTGTTCCTTCATTGATTTTCCCTTCCCTTGATTATTGTTTTGTGGAAAGAGAATAGGAGGGTAACAGTTAGTACTGTTGGGTTTAAAGTACATAATAAATAGAGACGGGTGAAGCAAACCGTGTTGGAGAGGGCAATACAAAAAGAGACGCAAAAAATATGATCATGACAAAAACAAGGCATGATTTCACTTTCCCTTTTTTGTTAAATATGACAAACCTGTGACTCAAACGGATGTCTATGTCTTTAGCCAATGCCTGTATTACAGGATAATAACCCTGTACCATTAGTCCATGCCCACCAGAAAGTACATCCTCCTGCACATAATACAATAGACACTACTGATTAAATTATATCAAATATTGTACAAATCAAATTCATTGGATTTATTTAGTATCTTTTACACTTTACAGCATATTCTGTCTGAAAGAGATTGAGAAAAGCTAGCTAATAGAATATCATTGTCATTATCAGCACGGCAGCACCTTAATGCCAACTAGGGTTTGGGGGCATTAAATTTATAGTGCTAATTAATTGCTTAAAGTTGTTGCTAAAAGCATAGTGGCATTGTTTTACACCAGATGCCCTTAATGCTGCAACCTTTATAAGAAGGAATAAAGCTAGACTATAGGAGTACTTTTCAGGCATACATACACAAATTATTGTTAGGAATCAGAGATCAGAGGTGGTCAAGCGGAAGCAAACAAACAGACATACACACACAAATAGCAGAAAATAAGAAGAGATTTAATGTGGTTTGGTCAGTAACCTACTCCACGGGTTGCAACTAGGGTTTATCTTTTATTAGGTGCTCACAGATTATAGTTACATGATTGGGTATTTATAAGATATAAACTAGGGTTAACAACTTGATAAACAAGAAACAACTAATGGGCCTTTAATTAATAACTGAAACCGGCCCCCCATGTTTCTTCCCGCTTAAAGCCCAATGCTCTAAAGCCTTCACCGAATAACCCAACAATTATGTATATTCCCAGGTTAGTTTGAGTACCACATGCTTTGAACATCAGACCATAGTTAAATAAAGATACATTTATGAACTTCACTAAGCCTAAATCAACTTCACAAAAGGTTCCCATAAGCTGGGAGACTCAGAACGAGAGACAGAGGGGTTAAAGCAAAAGAGCAGGCCACAGAAAAAATCTCGAAGGTTGAAGGCTTGAAGTAAATACTCAGCAAGCTGCTTAAATCAATCGGTATAACAATTCAATTTGGTCTTTGATTTGTTTTCACCCAAAGGCGTTCATGATAAAACAAATAAAAAATAATTGAGGCAAATAGAAAAGAGGTGAGATGAGGGAAACAGGCTATCGTCTCAAAGATTTTGGGCCCTTAATAAAAATATGAGCCTAAGAGAAGCTTGTTGATCTTACTACCAATTTAGAATCAAAAGCTGTGATAGCGAAACTACCTTGATTTTTGTAGTATTTTTTTAAAAGCAAAAAAGTTAGATAACTTGCCTGATCCCAAGTCTTCAGAGATATCAAATTTGCATCGGCAGCAAACCATGCTTCCATTCTGCATATATACCACTGTAGCACTTCATGTGCAAGTCCATCTTGCCTACATGGCACAAAGAATGTAAACACTACATAACTACATTCATGCTTAAAAGGCAGGAGCGCAAGGCATTATTAAATGTCACAAAAGTTTCTCTTTGCATACCTCAGTTCTGGATATCTCTCCATTACAATTGATATTGCTTCCTGAACTGACATGTCTTGTGTATGTTCATCCCTCACTTTCTCGGTCTATATGATACAACAAATGAATTATTCAATTGACTTTACAAGGAACTTCATGAAAGATTCTGAAAATTCAAGGAAACCTCTTTGAGAATATTTTTGAATGCTTCTCCAACTTCAACGACTGTCTGTTGAGGAACTTGCTTACCATCAATGCCAAATAGCATAAAGCTGGAAATGCAATGATATACACATCACACATTGGATTATACGAAGAATTAGTGGATTATAAAACAGTTGCAATAAACCAAGACAAGAAACAGTAGATGAAGCTGAAACATATCCCATTTTTCTACTTATATATCCCGTAATCCCAGTACTACAATGAATTCTTTTCCTGACAAAACCATGAACCTAAGCTAATGAATCAATCTGCTATGCCTGTGCAGTTACCAAACCCTAAGGTTACAGGAACTGAAAATTTCACCTAGAAAAAAACTGTTTTTCAAATAATGATAGATGATGATGATAAATACTTTATGGGGATTAGAGAATAGGACTGGAAAGTAAAGTTTATGAATCTCCATCTAGAGCTGTCAAATTTAACTTCAAGTCTTCAACTAGATGATCCACAAGTGCTTAAGTGATTCATAGGTCTTATCTTTTGGATGATGTATGCTTGTAGGTAAAGTTACCTCTCAAGATCATGGTCATACAACACAGAGTCGTCACCACTTGTACGATATAAGTTGAGGCCCAAGCGCCGTATCATTGGAGCCAAAGGATTCTCATTACAAACCCCATGTAGCCTGACAAAAAAAATGTTCTTGAGATAGTGCTCTATAACATAAAATGATTAAAAAAAACTTCAAAATAAAAAACAGGAAATAATACATTAAGGCCATCAATCATGAAAATGATCACATCACAAAACAAATTAATCAAGCCCTTACTTTAAAAATAGTGCTCCACACGGGATTGAGATTCTAAAAACAGTCCATTCTGAAAACTAATTCTGAAGAGAAACTGGATGTATAACATACCATGATGCTCCCATGTCAACAGGGCAACCAAATGTGTAGTCAGTGTGAATACGCCCACCAATTCTATCTCTTGATTCCAACAACACCACCTGGTATGACACAATAGAGGAATTGTTATAGAGAAATTGTTATAGAGAAATTTTCACAATAAAAAAGTTCCAGCTAAAGAGGATACATAGATACAGATTTCAACCCACCTTGAAAGAGGCATTCTGTAGGGTGTGTGCAGCTGCTAAGCCTGAGATACCTCCGCCAATCACAATTACAGATGGAGAAGGACTATATTGCCTCTCAATGTGAGAGGTAAACGAGCCTATCAATCAAACATCACCACATCAGAAAAAATGAACAAACTAGATTAACAAGAAAATAGATCTACAAAGGTATACCATATAAAACCTACATACGAGCCAAAATTTGATACACGATGAGTTTGGTCATCCACAACACATCTCTAAAAGCACATGCCACTCATTTGTGAACATTAGTAGTATACCACTCAATAGATTCTAATGCAAACAGGTCCCAAATTTTAGGGCCCATTTTTATATCCCAGACTTATTATTACAAAAGGTGGAACGCCCACACCGGACGCCCCCACACCCCGGCCCGACAGGATTGTGAGGGGTAAATTATGGTATAATCTCAATCGGGTAGATATTATTCTAACTACTTTTATTTATCATAGAGAGGTTGACATGTGCTACATCTCTTGATACTTAAATATCATTGTAGTTCACATCAATTATGATTGAAAAGTATTATTCTTCACAGCTCTAGATAAGTTTTTTTATTAAAAACACCTACATATTGCTTTTGAAAATGAAAAAAAAAGATTAATGCTAATGATGATAGTCTTAGGCTCTTAGCATTAATGATAACCTTTGTGCGAATATAATGTTACAGCTTATATCTGAAGATTTTATTTTAGCTAGACAATTGACATTTCAATTACTAAGCATATTCTCATATAGGTAACTTATAGGAAAATTAGCTGGACACAGGCATTTACCACTTCCAAATTCAAGAAAACTCGGTCATCAAAATTTTCAAGTCCAAGTTCAAAATTAAAGTTACAAATTAGATTGGAGTTTAAATTTAGAGTATATAAAAGGATAGAGAGCATAAGAAATAGGAAAGTGTCAAGGACTAACCATTAAAGATACTTCTATTTGATCTAGAATCATCATCTTTGAGATCCATGAAATTTTCAAACCAGCCGACAAACAAGATCGATGCGTTTCCTGAGCTGACTCAATAAGATCCGTGCAAACCGTACGAAAAAAACTAGCGCGCGCTTTCTTGGGTGCCCGATGACGAGTTTGTTTACGGTTGTATAGGAAGCAGGAAATTGGAGATCAATTGAAATGAATGATAAAGCATGAATATGAGAACGCCGGCAATGATGCGGCTGAGATTTGAAGAACAACGCAACTTATCAAACCAGCTCATAATCAGGTGCATCTCCTACCACCGGTCGTCTCCTAATCTGAACGATCGCAGCGATTTTCCCTGTTTGCATAGATCGATTGCTCGGCGATCCTTCCCTCCGATGTGTCCCCGCCTTCCTCCCACGCTCAATCTCAGGTTCTCCGCCGCCGGTTTTCTCTCTCAGTCGCAGAATTCAACCGCCGCTCTTATCGCCGTGGGGGGTCGCTGGTTTATATAGGAATGAAACAGAGCCATAATAAATTGGAGAACTAATCATGAACCAACGATACGCGTTTAGTTGTACAATGATGAAGATATTTTCTATGATATGGGGGTTCTTTAGTAATTTCGGCCATCCGATGGGGGCGGCTCACAATTTGCAAATTGGAATTCCTTCCTCTACGAAACTTTTCATTTTTTTAAGGAGGAACCTAGGAAACTTGATTTTTTTCTTAAAACAAAAAAGGATGGTTAAAAAAAAAGATGAACATCTCTTCTCTAATGTTGTATTCATATGAATTTGTTGAGTTTGATTTAAATTTTTTAAAGACTAATGTGATTTGAACACATTTGATTTGATATGAATAAATTTGATCTGATTAAAATTTAAATTATCATTTAGTATTATTATCTTTGTTGACTTGTTGTTTTTGTTTTTGTTGCTACTGTTGCTATTATTATCTTGGTACGAATAAATTACTTACGCCCTTCACGGCCTTCAGTTGGGTCGGATGTACCATGAAGCTGATTCCATAATTTAATAAATTGGTTATAGTACGAAACAATAGTTTGCCCCTTTTGACAAAGGTTGTTCAACTCAGATTTTAATTGGTATATGTGCGGTCTATTTGAGCAGCCAAATCTTTTCTTCAAATTTTCCCATAATTCATATGCAACCGAGTGTGAAACAATACTAGGTTGGATAGATTCATCGACACTGTTAAAAGTCCAACTACAGATAATTTGATTATTAACGTACAATGTCGATACCTCGTGCTCATCATCTGGTTTGTTAACATCATTGGCCGTGAGGAGGATTGCTTTGTCACGCCCACCAAGTGCATTTCGTATGGCCTTTTTCCAAATATCAAAGTTATCACCTTTAAGGAGATATTTAGTGAGAGAATTATCGGGACCTTCGGACAGATGAAGATAGTAAATAGACAATAGATCATGTATCAACCTTGTCTTTTTAGGGTTTGAAGAGCTATCTGAAGCCATGACAAATTGTTGACGAACAGCCTTGGGCTGTGGTTGCTGTAGGTTGGATAGATTCATCGACACTGTTAA